TTAATTCTAAGGCTTGTTCTTCAAAGTCTGTGATACGGGAGCAGTTTCTACATAAATGTAAGAATTAGCTTTTAGGAATTCCTTCAACCATGGTTTGTGATGACAACTAGATTGGTCAATTACTGTATTAGTGCATACTTTTTTGTTTTAGTGTTAATTGTGCCATTGTGGATAAAAATATGTAGATCTAAAGAATTAATACATTCTCGACTGTGTTCTGAAGTTAAAATGATACCATGGCTGTTATTTAAATGATTTTTAAAAAGTTTAAGAGAATCTTCATGGCCTTCCAAATAAAAAACAGATCATCTATAAATCTAAACTAGGAGACCAGGTTTGTCTTTCAAACATGCTGACCCCAGATGGCCATGGATTCCCAATTGGCCATGAAGAGGTTAGCATAGCTCGGGGCAAACCTGGTCCCCATAGCTGTACCTTGTTTTTGAATATAAAAAGAATCTAAAAAACAAAATGAATTGTTATTTCAAATGATATTAATACCTTCTATAATAAAATTGATCTCTTCTGCTGGGATAGAGTTTTCAGCTGTTAAAATGTTAAAAACTGCTTCACAAACCTTATCGTGAAGAATAATTGTATACAAGGATTGTACATCGCATGTAACTAAAATGTAGTCTGGGTGCCAGATAAAATTTTCTAAAGAGCAAAGAAATGTCATAGAGTCTTTAAGATATGATCTCATATGATTTACTGATGGAGAAGGATATCTATATATTCTGATAGGTTAGCTCGTATGGAATTTATCCTGGAGACAATAGGTTTACCTGGAGGATTGGTCTCATTTTTGTGTATTTTTGGGAGGAAATAGATAACAGGAATTATTGGACAAATGACATTTAAATAATCATATTAATTTTTGGTTAAAATATTGGACTCCAAACCAGAATTTATATTCTAAGAGTTTTGTAATGTTAGGGGTGGGATCTGAGGTTAATTTATTATTGAGATGTTTTCATCATTTATTGCCTGAGTGCTTCGTCTATGTACATGGTTTTAGATAATATAACTAAGCCTCCACCTTTATCTGCTGGTTTAATGATAATTTCTTCGTCTGCTTGTAGTTCTTTTAATGCTCGCTGTTCTTGGTGAGTTAAATTATAGTGTTGATGTTTGTGTTTTTTAATATTGTCAGGGTCTTTTAAAACTAATTTTTCATAGGGCCAGATTTAAAACCGGATGGATAAAAATGTGAACGTTTTTTAAGGTGTGTTCTAACTATCGTGGATTCATTTGAAATGGTAGGATTGGGAATATCTGAATTACTCTGAGTCGTGTGTGTTGTAATGTCAGATGTGTTCAATTTGCTGAACATGTGTTCGATTTTCTTTTTAGTGCAGCCTTTCTAATTAATTTATTGGTGTCTAAAAAGGCTTGGAATTGGTTAAAAGGGTTAGTGGGAGCAAATTTTGGGCCCTTGCTTAAAACAGAAATTTGGGTAGAATTTAAAACCTTTTGAGATAAGTTAAAAATGCCATGTTCTTTTTCAGTTTTATCTGATAATGTCTTTTTAGTCTCTCTCTTTTGTTTTAATCTTCTTCTACCTCTCCTTCCTCTATGCTTAAACTCCGTTTTATTTACCTTGACAAAAAACCCGGTTTGGTGTTTGAATGGTGATATATTTTGCCAGCTTTAACAGAATGTGTTTCCCATTCATATAAAAAATTATTTAAAAAAATAGGAATATTAAAATGTTTTAATTTTGAATATGACAAATATTCTATATCAAACAATTCAACATAATTTTATAAAAAGAAAATACTGACAAAGAGTGAATAACCTTTTTTAGCTTTCAAAACAAATTTAACTGTTTAAAGTTTTTCCTTAATCAGTCATATAGAATATTAATATTGAATGAATATTAGTTTTACTAAAACCCAGAATTTTGCACTGCACTCAAATATTAATATTTAGTGATCAGGTGAAATCCTGTCAACTACGCCATTTGTATGTAGAAAATCACATGAGGATATTTGAGAATGATTAATTTGATTTAGCTCTTACAACAATAAGTATTTAAAAATAATCTTTAGCTGATCACATTGAACACCAACATAGTGAAGGAAAAACGCAAAGTCTTCTGGAAGCAGAATATGGAAGAATATAAAACAATATTGCATTGTAATAGACAGCTTAGATTTTAAGTTTGGATAAAGCTTCTATGGCTCCACTAGTTTTGCCCAAATTCTTCTCCTTATACACTGAATGGAGATGCATTTATTCCTCTCTCCTTCTCTTTCTCAAACCAAGCTTCGAGAAGCCTGTCCCATGCGTGCAATTGCTCCTCGTTGCTCACAAAGCCTTTGTTCTGTGAAGGGGAGCTTCCTCCACAACTAATAGACTCCTATATGCATTGGATTTTGCAATTACTCACCAAAGTTTACTTGTTGCACCTTTTGTACACTTATTGCCTTTATTTATTTATTTTAAGGTTATTATAAGAAATTTTATGAAATGATTCAAGTGTTGGCATGAATTTTGTTAAAGATACTAGCGTATTGCATATTGACAGGGGAATAATGCCTGCAAAATAACTTGGAATAAGGTCAATCTTGAATGTTAATACCGGAAACGTCTTTGTTGGTTCTTAGTGTCATGGTTAATGGCTCCAAAGACAATATAAATAGAAGCAGAGACAATGGACACCATTCATGAATGTCACTGGAAATAAAGCCTTTGTTGATATTCCTGGAGGCATTATGTTGGTATATAGTGGCATGATCATTTAAAAAAACAAGAAAGCAGGAGGGTTGGTGTAGCACCTAGGATGTCGTCGGAAATATATGTAACGACAGAAGGAGAGGACTAATAGTGTAGCATGTAAAATATGTTGGATAAAAAGTATTAAAAGTTGTTCACTCACACTTTTTAGGTGCTAATGTTCAGCTCCAACTTGAACTCTTGGGCAGAATGATCCCCACCTAGCGATATAATGTGGTACAGGATCTGCATGTAGTCCTTGTAGTAATAGCATTTCTTGTGGATATGTGGAAGAAAATCAAGACAGTATAGTGTAGTATGCCAGACCAAACAGCAATATGGCAGTATAAAAATATACTGCTAATCCTAATAAGTCAGTGAGCTTTCCCAAGTCCACATAAAGCTCCTGACTAATTTTGGTGTAATACTGTTTTGGTCGACGCCGTGGCTGTGCCAATCACGTGGCACAGCTCACGGCGCCATTTTGAAATTCACATTTTTCTTCCCTCTCCTTACTATATATATTTTTTTCATAATAATTGCTCATTTTTTGTATTTTAACACTTGAACATACCCTCTCAGAGTAATCGGGCCCATGCCCACTCAGAGTATTCTTACAGTTTTTGTAACATTTTTAAATATTCATGTTAATTTACTTCCGATCACATGACTATGCCATCACACGTCCATTGTTTTCACATTTTAGATCCCATTAAAAGCAGCTTTGGTCCTTTTAGTCTGTAAACACTTTTTATAAAGCTATTTAATGGTGAAACTCATGAAGTATATCTAAATATTGTTCTATACTGCTTAGTTTCCCTTTTATTGTTTTATTCTTTGTTTTTATGAGAAAAGTACTTTTTTATTGCTGCTGGATTCCTGAACACCTATATCCTTGGAAGGGATAAAAAACCACATGTGCCTTTTGGATTGAGCAAACCTAATTTTGTTTTACTAAATGCAAGCAAATTTTTATTATTCTATACTTTCATTCCATCTGTACGGAATACACTATTGTGGTTTCATTTCTCTTACATATACAAAGGGATACCAACACCACCTATATTCTTGAGTGGGGATCATACCACTTCACGCCATAACTGTGGAGTCACTGTTCAGGCTCCATAATATGCATATTTTTATACTGCTATATTGCTGCTATTTAATCTGGCATACTACACTATACTGTCTTAATTTTCTACACCAACCCTCCTGCTCTCTTCATTCTCTACTGGATAAGAGAGACTCCTGATCTGGTAACTAAGCTGCCTTAGAACTATATCAGTATTTTACAAGTCTGAAAAACAATATTGATGAGAGGTATAGCGCTCATGTTATTACATTGCCTTGCCCAACACCGCGTGTACCCGGCGGTGTCACAGCGTGCTTTAATTGACCATACACGATCGTTACAGTAACTCAGCTGAGCCCATAGTGTGACGTGGCAGATCACAGCCCAAGCCACTGGAGCGTTCTTCCTCAGAGATCGCGGTGTTCCTATGGACGCCGGCTGCTGCGATGCCGCTGTCCTATGTAGCTCAGTCTCTGGCAGGGTTGGGGATCAAGCGCCCGTACGTTTTGGAATCACATGATCCCTGCCTACCAATAACATTGAGGAATAGGCTGTTTCAACCCCTTACTGTGTTTCCTCTTTGCCCTGCCATGGTTTCCATCCTGTTTGGTTATCCATGAGTGCTTTTCGGTATATTGTTATTTCTAGTTTTCACTCTTGGCCTGTTCTAACTATCTGTATTTCTGGCTTCCTGACTCTTTGGCTTTTGGTTACCGTTTATGCTTCTATCTGTATCCTTAATTTCAGTTAGTTCCTGGTTATTCTATATACTATTCTTAATTCCAGCCATTATAAGGCCCTGTAATGTTTCCTTAGTTTATTATTTTTTCTGTGTTTGTCTTAATTCTGCGAGTTGGGCAGAACTTTTGCCCAACTTTTGATGACACAACATTGCTTGGCTGCTATAAATTAAAATTTTAGAATTTGTGTCCAAGTCCATCTCTGCATTTGTGTTTCAGCTGAAACATATGATTACACATGGAATGTTATGCATACATGAAAATGTAGTAGTATAGGAGACCCACAAATTTCCAGAATATTTGGATCAGAATGCTATCTAAAGACTAGCCCTTTTCTAAAAGCTGGTTTCTAATAATTATATATAGTAAACCACCTGCACTCACGGTATATAATTATGTCATTGTTAAAAAAAACACAGTGTATTATAATATTTATAAAACTATTTATTTGGTACATAGACTTTATAACTTTAGTTTCATGAACAGAAGAATGCAATGTAATTCACATCATAGTTTCCACTTGCGAAGAATAGGAGGAAGGATATTTATGTAAAATATAATTTAAAGTGTAAAAAGATCTTTGTGTCTTCGGAGTGGGAGTGTACATGTTAAGCATGGATTACAAATGCATCCTGTTGATGAATTGTTCTTGAAGAAGATCTTCTTGAGAGCATTTTTTTCTAAAAAAAAGAAATAGAAAAATGAAAAAAGAATAGAGGAATATGAAATCAGCAAATGTAGTTCATATGAGTTTTATGAATTCTAACAACTGAATAACAGAACACAAAATCCCACTGTCATTAATAAGAGTTTCCATGCGTTGATACAAGCATTTCACTTATTTGCAACTGATAATTTAAAAAAAACTTCAAGACTTTACTGCAGGCTTCCCCAAACTCCGGCCCTGCAGATGTTGCTGAACTACAACTCCCATGATTCTATGAATGAAATAGATAGGCTGAGAATCATGGGAGTTGTAGTTCAGCAACATCTGGAGGGCTGGAGTTTGGGGAAGCCTGCTTTACTGCAAAACAAGTTAACATATATGACGTAGATAATCTGAACTCCAAAAATATTAATATTCCATTTCCTGAGTATCGTTTCAAATTAACTGCAAATTCATGAAAGCAAAAAATAATAATATAATAAAAGATAAAATAAAACATAAAAGTTCTGAGAGCAAGGCAAAATCGCTATGGAAACTGAATACATGATATTGGACTTTATGGAATTATAGCTTTTGTCAGCTTATCAGTCAATTAATAAGAGCTCTAGGAATAAAAAGGTGCTTAAGACAAATGGAGAAAAAAATTATAATTCTGACACCTTTTCATTTAGGTGTGCCTGTATTTCATGCCAATCTGATATATACCCACTGCATTCATATTCATATCACTAATAATATCTGTATTTGTTCTGCTTTTTAACATTCTCAGTTACATTCTGGGCTAAATGTGCCTTTTCAGTATGGTTTGATTTAGAAAAAAATAATAATAATGAAAATGATGATAAAAAAAGGAATGGGGTTTACTTATTAATGTGTTAATTCATTAATGTGCATTGTCCAGTTATTCAAATGGCCCAGGTAGTATATATTGGGGCATTTCAGAAACCATTTCATTTCAGGGGAATCAACACTTTTCATTGGGATGATGGTATTAGCGCTAATTTTGCCTGGGATCTAATCCCCTACTCTAGCACTATAATCAGGGAGGACACTTTGGCCTGGCTAGGTATTCCCCTGTCATGTTTAACTTCTGGATCAGAGTTTTAGATACCCCTAACCCATTATTTAAAGAATACCTTTGTGCATGTGTGTGGCTTGGGCAGTGGCTTAACTCAACATAAGTAAAAAGATCTGAAGCCGTTGGTATTTTTACCACTTAGCAACACTCCTAATTTTTACCCATCATTCTCTCCTGGCTAGAGCACTCAATCCAGAGAGATACTCTATGTATAGCTCTGTGCGGAGATCATACTCACAAAAGCAGCACTGCAAATAGGTTTAGCTGGGTGTATCATTACGTTGTTCACAGTTTGTCTCAATAAAAACTTAGATGAGATATCTGTGTTGACAGGACCTGATTTTCCTACTGGCAATGGCAAGGATTCCTGCCATTTGGTTTCCAATTAGGTTTAATCAGTTGTCCTTTTTCTCCACAGTGCCCCTTTCTCTCACTTAACAATCTGTTTTTTTCTCTTTCTCGTCAGCTTTTATCCCCATTTTTTACCTCTGTTTCATTTTCCTGAAGCTTGCAGTCTCTACGTACAGTATATCTCTGCTCGCTCTATGCCATTGATTCTCTCCAAAAAAAAATGGAAAGTAATCCAGGCACTCCAAAGTATGCCAAAAAAGGCAATTTTATTGGACCCATGAACCAAAAAACAACATTTCGACCCTAAGGTCTTTGTCAAGCTTGACAAAGACCTTAGGGTCGAAATGTTGTTTTTTGATTCGTGGGTACAATAATATTGCCTTTTTTGGGATACTTTGGAATGCCTGGATTACTTTCTATTTTTCTAAATTATACATTTGGTCCTTTGGTACTGGGACTGATCCTGTTAGCACTTACATATGAAATTAACTTTTAATTCATTTTGAATCCCCAACAATTTTAACTTTAATGAATTACCTTGTTATTGTGTTTTGTCACGTTCTATTCTTTTCTCTTCCCTGTCTATTCTTTAACCCCTTAGTGACCAGACCTTTTTTCAATTTTCTTACCATTAAGGACCAGGGTTGTTTTTACATTTCTGCAGTGTTTGTGTTTAGCTGTAATTTTCCTCTTACGCATTTACTGTATTCACACATATTATATACTAATTTTCTCACCATTAAATGGTCTTTCTGAACATACCATTATTTTCATCATATCATATAATTTATTATAAAAAACTTATAAAATATGATGGAAAAATTAAAAAAAAACTTTTTCAAACTTTGACCCCCAAAATCTGTTACGCATCTTTAACCCCCAAAAATACCCATGCTAAATAGTTTCTAAATTTTGTCCTGACTTTAGAAATACCCAAGGTTAACATGTTCATAACTTTTTTTTTGCAAGTTATAGGGCTATAAGTACAAGTCCTAACTATAAGATAAGACTAGGGACAAATGAAAGTATTTAGAAAATTGGGCAGACTAGATGGGCCGAATGGTTCTTATCTGCCGTCACATTCTATGTTTCTATGTTTCTAAGTAGGACATTGCTGTTTCAAAATATATATTTGAAAAATGTATCAATAGTGACATTGTAACACTGTTATCAGTCATAAATCACTGAATCACACCTCACATGTACATTTTTTTTTTTAAAGTAGACAACCCAAGGTATTCAATATGGGGTATGTCCAGTTTTCTTAGTAGCCACTTAGTCATAAACACTGGCCAAAGCTGGCATTTATATTTGTTTGTGTGTTAAAAATGCAAAAAAAACAATTATGAATGCTAAATTTGGCCAGTGTTTGTGACTAAGTGACTATTAAAAAAAACTGAACATACCCCATTTGCGATACCTTGGGTTGTCTTCCTTTGCAAATGGTATGCCATCATGGGGGTAATTTTCATTGCTGGGCTACCATACACTCTCAAAGGCAACATAACCAATCTGGCAAATTTCAATATGAAAAAATGGAAAATCAAGCCTTATATTTGACCCTGTAACTAATAAAAACACTATAAAACAGTAAAACATAACACAACAATGATATCATCAGTGAAAGTGCCATTTGTGAGTGAAAAATGCAAAAAACTTCACTTTCACTGACAATATCATCGCTGTGATATGTTTTACTGTTTTTAAACACTGACATTTGTGTTCAGCGAAGTCTACCAAGTAAAACAGTACCACCCATGTACAGGTTGTAGGGTGTCTTGGAAAGTTACAGGGTTAAAAATAATGCTAGCAAATAAAATTCTCTGGACTTTCGGCCTGGGTTGTCAGACAAGTCACCCAAATTGCAATCAATAAAATTACTTAATTATGTAAAAATATTACATAAATATGCACGTAGAATTTAAATATATATACATATATATATATATATATATATATGTAATTATGTATATAGACATGTGTATTTTGTATTAATTTTATTTATTTATATATATATATATATATATATATATATATATCATTCTAAGTGTATTTTGATATAATATATATATATATATATATATATATATATTAATATCAACATACAGTTAGAATAAAATTACATGTATATTTTTTATTATTTTTCCATTTTTTATTTATTTTTAATAATTTTTTTTTTTCTAATAATATATATATACAATTATTATATATATTATATATATATATACACATGTGTAATTTTACTTTAAGTGTATTTTATATTAATATATATGTATATGTATATATTAATAAAAATACACTTAGTATAACATTATGTATAAGATATATATATATATATATATATATATATATATGTGTGTATATATGAAATACACAATCCAGCACACTTGCTTATTCACTAAACAATGATATTAAATCTTTACAGATTGTAATAGTTTCATTTAAAAACACCTCATCTAGGCAAAAAACAATAGGGGTATAGTTACATTATATGATCATATATTGCATACGTCTGCCACAATGTCAATGTACCCCATTCTTGGCAGGTCCTATTCTAGCTACTCTTTAATTTTTTATTCTTCACTGAGTGCCACTCAGCACACAGGCAAAGCATCAGAATCCTGCCTGATGGCTTCCGGTGCTCTGCTACACTGCCGGGGAGCGATCACCCGGCGGCACGGCAGTCAGGGGAGGTATTGCAGGATGCCTCGACATCGACGCATTTGCCGTGGACATACCAGGTACATCCAAAGTCTCTAACAACCATTTTTTGTCAGGCATACCTGGTACGTCTGTGGACATTAAGGGGTTAAACAGTGAGTTGAAATATAACTTTAAACATTTAGGCCAAACTAGAAGTGTAAAACATCACCATCTCAATTCCGCTATTTTGACTTAAAGGACCACTATAGTGCCAGGAAAACATACTCGTATAGTGCCCTGAGGGTGCCCCCGGCTCTGGGGAGAGGAAAGGGGTTAAAACTTACCTTTTTCCAGCGCTGGGCGGGGAGCTCTCCTCCTCCGATCCTCCTCCTCTCCTCCCATTCGGCTGAATGCGCACGTGCGGCAAGAGCTGCGCGCGCATTCAGCCTGTCTCATAGGAAAGCATTTATAATGCTTTCCTATGGACGCTTGCGTGCTCTCATTGTGAAAATCACAGTGAGAAGCACGCAAGCGCCTCTAGCGGCTGTCAATGAGACAGCCACTAGAGGGAATGGGGGAAGGCTTAACCCATTCATAAACATAGCAGTTTCTCTGAAACTATGTTTATGAAAAAATGGGTTAACCCTAGCTGGACCTGGCACCCAGACCACTTCATTAAGCTGAAGTGGTCTGGGTGCCTAGAGTGGTCCTTTAAGTTTTAAAAGATTTTTCAAATCAGTGTTTAGTGAATAGATTCCCAAGTGTCTAATTACCTGTTCTTGTTTAAGAGATACAGGCCAGGACATCTAGTAGAAAATGTCTGGGAAGCTGGGAAGACATTTAGGAAACAGAGACAGACTAGGGAGAAATTTAGGGAACAGAGATGGACCAGACTGGGAAGACATTTAGGCAGGAAAAAAAGACAGACTGAAGAGACGTTTAGGGAAAGGAGACAGACAGAGTAGGCATTTAAGGAAAGCAGATGCACCAGTGAGAAATTCATTGTCTCCCTGGTCTGCTTTCTTTCCCTGAATTTCTCACTGGTGCATCTGCTTTCCTTAAATGTCTACTCTGTCTCCTTTCCCTAAACGTGTACATACATACACACACACACACATATATCCACACACACTGCCTAATACATACAATTAACCATAAATGCACACTGCCAAATACATACATACACACACACATTGCCCAATACATACATCCATACACACACTGCCCAATACATATATCCACACATGTACACTGCCTAATACATACAATTAACTATACACACACACTGCCCAATACATACATCCATGCACATATACTGCCAAATGCATATAAGTACACACAAGCACACTGCCTAATACATACATACATATACACACACACACTGCCTATTACACACAATAAACCATATACACACACTGCCTAATACATGCATACACACACACACACTGCCTGATAGATGCATACATCCAAACACACACTGCCCAATACATACATCCACACACACACTGCCTGATGCATACATACACACACTGCCTGATGCATACATACACACACACTGCCAAATACATACAACCATACACACACTGCCCAATATTTATATTTACACACGCACTGCCTACTACATATATTTAACCATACACACACTGTCTGATACAAATATTTAACCATACACACACTGTCTGATACATAAATTCAGACACACACTGCCCAATGCAAACATCCATACACACATGCTGCCTAATACTTACAATCAATCATACACATACACTGCCCATTACACACATACGGCCCAGTACATACATCCATGCACACATACTGCCTAATACATACATGTATACATACATACATACACACACACACACAAACATACTGCCTAGTGCATGCTTTTTTCTTTGAATACATAATTTATTGTTGTGATAAATTAATTTAATGCATTTGGTAGGATTTAATTCATAAAAATGAATTTAATTTCTGCTACAGTGAACTTGTATGATAGACTCATGTTATGTAAAACATTTTTTTAGTAGAATATGATATATATTATGAATATAATTTAATATATAAGGACTATTTACATGGTGACACACACATACTCACTGACATACACACAAAATGTCACTTACACACTAAAACAGACAGGGGCGGACTGACCACTCGGGCACTTCGGTCATGGACCGAGGGCCAGAGGCAGTCAGGGGCCCAGCAGCACAGCCTTGTTCCAGCTGGAGAGATCAGAGATCTCTCCAGCTGGAACGGAAAAATAATAAAATAAAACTTTTTAATTGATAGGTTGTGGGGCCCCTGATGCAGCGCGGGGCCCCACAACCTACCGCTCTGCACATCCCCCCCCCCCACCATGAGACCTGGCAGCTTCACCTCCTCCCTGCCAGGTCTCCTGCTTCCTCTCCCATGCGGCTCTGTGTGATGGGAGAGGCGGGGCCAGGAAGTGACATCACTTCCTGTTTACTCCTCTCACACAGAGCCCAGCATGGAGAAGGAGCAGCAGGCGGGGAGAGAAGAGGGAGCAGAGATGCAGGTAGGCACCAACCACCCCCTTCCCCCCCCCTCACTATCACCAGTCACCCCCCTCACTGTCACCAGTCACCCCCCCACTGTCACTAGTCACCCCCCACTGTCACTAGTCACCCCCCCACTCTGTCACCCCCTCACTGTCACTAGTCACCCCCCCACTGTCACTAGTCATCCCCCCTCACTGTCACTAGTCACCCCCACTGTCACTAGTCACCCCCACTCTGTCACCCCCACTGTCACTAGTCATCCTCACTGTCACTAGTCACTTCCCCACTGTCACCAGTCACCCCCACTGTCACTTCAGTCATCCTCTCACTGTCACAGTCATCCCCTCATCGTCACTAGCTCTACTGTCACTAGTCACCCCCCTTCCGTCACTTCAGTCACCCCCACTGTCACTAGTCACTCTCACTGTCACTAGTCACCCCCACTGTCACCAGTCACCCCCACTGTCACTAGTCACTCCCCACTGTCACTAGTCACTCCCTACTGTCACCAGTCACCCCCCCACTGTCACTAGTCACCCCCCTCACTGTCACTAGTCACCCCCCTCTCTGTCACTAGTCACCCCCCTCTCTGTCACTAGTCACCCTCTCCCTCACTCTGTCACTAGTCACCCTCTCCCTCACTCTGCCACTAGAGTGAGGGGATGACTGGTGACAGAGTGAGGGGATGACTGGTGACAGAGTGAGTTAGGGGGTGACTAGTGACAGAGTAAGGGAGAGGGAGGTGACTAGTGACAGAAGGAGGGATGGAGTAGTGACAGAGGGAGGTGGTGACTAATGACAGTCACCACCTCCCTCACTCTGTCACTAGTCACCCCTTCCCTCACTCTGTCACTAGTCACCCCCTCACTCTAGTGACAGTGAGGGAGGGTGTGACTAGTGACAGAGTGAGGGAGGGAAGTGGTGACTAGTTGACAGCGTTAGGGAGGGAAGGGGTGACTAGTGACAGAGTGAGGAAGGGGGTGACTAGTGACAGACGGAGGGGTGACTAGGGACAGAGTGAGGGAGGTGGTGACTAGTGACAGTCACCACCTCCCTCACTCTGTCACTAGTCACCACCTCCCTCACTGTGTCACCCCCTCCCTCTGTCACTGGTCACCCACTCCCTCCCTCACTCTGTCACTGGTCACCCACTCCCTCCCTCACTCTGTCACTAGTCACCCCTTCCTTCCCTCTGTCACTAGTCACCCCTT